ATTGTTATCCTAGTTTGGTCCAATCAAAGTTATTTTTAATCTACTCAGTTTCTAGTAAGAGGCTCTCAAGTAGTAGTTGCTTGGAATAAAATGTTTATTCGTGTCTATGCTCTTAATTATTTGTCACGCCTTACAGCATGCTGTAATTTCACATTACTGTGAGGGACCTCTTTTCCTTTTTTGCTCCTGAAATCATTTTCAATCATCCCTGTTTGGACTAATGGAAGCATGGCTATGATTCGGGCGTATGATCTTTTAGTATGTTATTGTAGTTATATTCATCCTTGTAATCTGAAAAATCTTTAGCGATGGTCAATCGGAAATAACCTCTTTGCCCTCCCAGGATGGGGGTAAGGTCTGCGTACACACTATTCTCCTCAGATTCCAGAACTGCTGCTGCTAAATCTGCTTGAAAACACTTATTATTTTGGCAGTGTTTGAGAAGTATTAGTCATCCTGCCGGTTCTACATGTTACAAGACCCATTGTTTCTGATGCCATATGTACAAGATCTATTGATTCAGGATGTTTTAACACTCAGTGCAACTACTAAGTAAACAGAGAATAAATTGTGGTTGTTCTTGCTTGTATGGGTGAAAATTAAACAGTTTGAACAGAGAATAAAATAGACTTATATATCTATTTTTACTCATTTACTGAAATGATGGGTGTTTTATGGCTGTTCACTGGCTTGACAGAATGTGGGAAAATGTAGAAACCGCGAGAACGATCAGAGATTAATAGAACTAACTAGGGAACAAGAATGGGAGGAGAGGAAATAAGGGGGCCGAGGGATCACTTGAACATACATTTTATAAATTCAACTTAGTCCCAATTATAAAGATTAGGCCTATATAAGGAAAAGTTGAAACAAAACCAGATCTAAATTGGTAATCTTAGGAGCTCTTTGTCGATTTGTGAATAATTTCAAGATTGCATTTATTTTGACATTATCTTGATGCAGTAGTGAACAAACTTGAACGCAAGATTTTCAGGTGACCATCCCTGCTGCTTGAAATAAAGAAACAATCCAAATAATGGACAACTGTTAGGACAACTCTAAAAACTCACAAACTACCCATATTACTTGAGCAACATGGTTTTTAACTCCATTTTAGGCTTTCCAAGGCCACATTTCTTTTCTGGCCAGCATATTCCTAGTGATACAGATATGTTATCATTGCCAAACTTTTGTAATTCAGGAGGTGTAGCGGGTGAGACTAAACCTTGGCTGAAATATTCACTTGGAAACAGCTTTCTGAAACTCAATCATCCCAAGCCTTTTTATGCCTATGGTGACTACTCATTGCCTAGCCCACACTAAATCTTTCAGTAACATCTTTTGCTTTTAGTCTCCGAATTGCCTGTTATCAGCCCTTTAAGATGCTGTGCAGTAATATCACTGGTCTACTACGAGAGAGGAAGGCTAATCTGTTTTTCAAGTGATGTTCTGAAAATCAGGCCATGGACCCCTATTCATCCGTTCATTTGTACTCTTAATTATCCTTTTACTTCTCTCTCTTACAGTTGAGATTTTGCTTTGCTTCTAGTATAGATGATTTAGCAGTGAACAGTGATTTTTTACATTTATATGATAAATACCAGTTAACAAAATGTAACTGAAGAAGTTGCAGCAAGTAAGCCATTTTCTTTTCAACTTTGTCTTATCAGGATGCTGTGCGGGGTATATGCAAGGAGGTGGAAGCTTTAGTGCAAAAATGTGGAAAGCCAAAAATGCTTGATGCAATCAAATTACCTCCTAAAGAGCTGTATAAGCTAGTCGAAGTATGTATGATCTCTTTAATAGTGAAACATACCACCTACTAAGTGTTGTTTATTTCTACCCTACAACATCTAAAGTATATAAATACGACAGTTATGCATCTCATCAACATTCTTGTCCAAACTGATGGGTTGGGGTCCTCTGCATTAAGCACACTCGAGAGAGTGCCTAACGTGTCTTCTCCATTATCTTTGTTAATTCTTCTGTCAGAAAATAGGAGAAGGAATAAATATATTAGTCATATGATGATAATGAATACAAGGCACTCCTATTTGAAGGCATGAGATACAGGGACTTACTTCATACTGGCATGAGGACTTACTTCATACTAACACTAAACACTATTCTAACCGATGAGGACTTATTTTCACATCTTAAGAATAATCTTTTATCTTTGATCGCTTTTTGGTGCACTCATATAGCCCCTATTTGTATAGAAGATTGAGCGTCTTTTGTAGAGAATCACGTTCTGATGTAAATTCTCTACTTTTTGGTATACTTCTTGTATACGGAAGTTCTCTCCCTTTTGATTAATACAATTTACCTTATCAAAAAAAAAAAAAAACCGATGAGGACTTATTTCAAACCAAAACTTACCACTATTCTAACATTAATTCTTTACATTCTAACGTGCCCTCTCAAACCCAAAGTGAGGAAACCTGCTTAAGGTTGAAAATTTGGCTGAATAAACTCTGGTTATCCTACAAACATCAATGTGATGCCTCGATAAAAAAGCGGTGGTCGGAGGTCTATAACCTTGATGTCTCTTGTTTATAAAAGTACCATAATTATTCACACAGAAAATTTGAAAACACACACCAAGTAAACTCTTGTCCGAATGCTCTCTCCGCCTTGACGTGAAAATCCAGGTTCCACTCTCCATGGACGGATCATTTGCTTTTTGAAAGGTCTCCAAAGAAAAGGAAATTATCCACACAACTGTTAGAGAAAGGGGCTTACTGTGAGCTTTCCTAAGGACATTCCTTATTTCAAGAGAAGTGCCTCCGGTGATAGTGGAGATGATGTACGGGCATATTGCAGAGCCGGGCCAAGTTCCCAGTGTTCGCACTCGGCTTGGTTATTGTACTTTAAGATTGAATATTATTGGAGCCATACTGGAAGCTCTAGTTCGCCTTCACATTAATTTTTCTAAAGCTCGACTCGATTCTTTTAATAAACTAGTCAACCTTAAGCTTGACAAATGCCCGGTTGTGAGCTTTTTTTAAGTTCATCTTTTTTGTTCTCCTAATTTAATTTGTAAAAAGTGAGTCACTTTATGCATTTTTTGCATAGGAGATTTTATCCATTACGCTCACAATTCCATTTCATCTAATGTCATGTCTTAGTTTTGACAACCGTGAATATCTGCATTGGCAAAATATTTGTTCACTAATCTATTTGGATGTAGTTCTCGCAGTATGTCTGACTTGCTCTTTCCATTCTTCAGATTAGCTACACTTGCTATTATATTTCCACTCGTTTATTTATTTATAAACGATTTGTTTTTCGGTTATTTGAACACTCAAGTCATTGTGATTACAGTTATATATGTGTGCTAAATTCATTTCCAGGAAATTGCTGGCAATGAGTTGGTGGAAGTGCTACAAATTAAAAACAAGATTCCAAGAAGAAAGGCATTATCATCATTGGAAGAAAATGTTATAAGCATATTGTCTGAGAAGGGTTATATCAGTACAATGGAAGCTTTTGGGTCTACTGAAACATTACCAGATTTGCTAGAGGAGGACGAGGATGAAGAAGTGGTTGTTGATGGTGAAGTTGATGAGGGTGATGTTCACATAAAGCCAGTTGCAAGGAAGACTGTCCCATTGGTATTGTCTCGACTTAATCTTTATTAATTTCTGACCTTCATCCTTTTCAAAAACACTTTTTTTGTTGATGAGTCATTCCATCCAGTCATATCAGCTACCACAACTTATGATTAGATGGATGTGTATCACTGCTGTAAAGTAGTTTTATGCATATGCAAAGATGTACTGTCACATATACATTGGGTGACTTGATAGCTCATAGACCTCCATAACAGTTTTAACACTGATACTGAAGTTTAAATTGAAGCGCTCTATGTTTCTTTCAATAAAGTAACATAATCACACATGACTGAGTTGGAGGTTTGGAGCTGCTCTTTAGGTTTTGATGCTACATGGTTTTCAGGGTAAGGAGGACAACAACAATGTATCAATGTAGGCAAAGGTTTAATAGTGGCTTGTAGGACAAAAAAGAAGAGGCGGAAAGGAGCTGCAGCCTAGATGGAATTTTGTGGTTGTGTGAAAAATATTATTTTGGCTTTTGGGAAGGAAGAAACAAAAACGGAAATACTGTTTTACTTCTTTATGCCTTGAGCATATCACCTAGAGTTTGAATTACATCTAACAGTTCGGGAAAGCTCTGATTTTTTTTGTGTGCATTCAGCTCTACTGATTATAAGGAATATCTATTAAGTGGTTAATAGACCCCCGAAATCAATTCCTACTCCTGAAAGTATTTATCTAAAACCTACTAGGAAAAATCTCTCTTGCCTAAACTAGTATTGCTGAAAATTTTGAGTGTCTTCAGTCTGGAAAGAAGTCTCTGCTTAGGGCTTCTGTGAACAACAGTCCCTCCGCCTTTGATCTTTGATGGACTTAAACCCAATTTCTCAACCCATCTTTTATGACAAAAAGGACAATATATCTTCCGTGTAATGAAATAGTTCCATGGAATTGTGGTAAAACACGATCATGCATTTGGATAAAACTGCTATCCAAGATAAAAAGAACTGTTTGAGCTGAACCCAAGGGTGGATTGATGGTTTATGAAATGGGATGTAACTGGGGTTCAAGTTGCAGCAGAGGAAAAATAATCTGAGTTTTTCCATCTGGCTAAATTTTGGTGGGCATAATTACTGGCTACCCTATGCAGGTGGAAGGTAGCAGGTACGTACTACGTAATAGAATAATCGAGGTGCGTGCAACTGCCCCAAACTACCACCATAAATTAAACAAAAGATCTGTTTGAGGTAGAAAATAACTAGCAATTGGTCTCATTCTGCCAGTAGATCAGGTCTAGTCACCCTTCCAGTATCAGGTCTACTAGATCCATGACTTCGTTCAACACACAAGATGTACAAGTGTCTTTGGAATGAAAGGAACCATAGATGTTTTGATGGGATTTCAACTCCCAACCACACTCTTAAAGCCACTTGTTTAATTAACTTATTTAGTTGGTTCAATCAGGCCCCTGTAACTAGTGTTGAACTATTTCTGGATTTTGTCTCCTCCTTAGTTGTCTGGTATATGAGCAGACAATACCTTTATGTTGTAATTTTTGCTATGCATCTTCTTGATGCCATTTAATGAAATTCCCTTACTTCATCAAACAAAAAATCCTTATAGGATGTTTGCCCTATTAATGAACTTTGGTAATTCTGCTCAACTGTCAGTTAGATGGTGGAATCTATTTCTTTCGACCCTCTTTTTAGTAAGTTAGTAATAAATATTGGGACAGACCATTTTAACAGTATATAAGATATCATATAAGTTAAAATGTTGAGAAGTGACAAACTCTTACAGATTCACTCTTTTGATAAGATACTCTTAGTTTAGCTATCTCTTTAATTGCTATCTGTTACTCTCTTAAATGTCTGGCACACAAAAAGGTGTCATGAATATTTTGTTCCCTTTGGGCCCCCCTAATTTTACAGCGAGGTTTTGGAAATCCCAAAAAAAAAGGGAATGCATGGGTGCATGAGAGATCTCTTAACGATTATTGTGAATGTATTTGCATAATAATTGGTACGAGACAAATTTATCATTGTATGAAGGCCTCCGTGTTTCCTCAGTAGCTCATTCTATATCACTTTAAAGAGGAAGGCTAGGAGTTAAAAGCATCCATGAAAAAAGATTTCGTGGAAGCCTAATGAGTTTGGGGTATTAATCATATTTTAAAATTTAGCATCATGCTTTTTCTTAAAAAATATAATTATATTGTTCTCTTTATATTGGTGTTATTGTCTTATTGTGGAATATTATACCTTCGTTATCCCCACCCAGAAAAGTATATAAAAATTACCTTTGTTATGATTCATAATTTCATATAATGGGGATTTGTTTTTCTAAATCTTAGACAAAATATAACACGACTTGGTGCTGAAAAATGAAGTTCTTGACCAAGGATCTTGGTACTGGATAAATATTACTCCCTCTCTCCCATTTGATGTGACTCCTCTTTCTTTTTTAGTCTATCTCAAAAAGGATGACATCTATCTATATTTAGAAATAATTTAACTTTAAACTTCCCATTTTACCGATGAGATGATTTATAGCCACAAAAATGTTTACGGGTTGTTTTGGACTGCACTTTTTTTCTTTCTTAAACTTCATGCCAAGTCAAACACTATCACATAAAATGAGATAGAGGATGTACTAATCAGTCTATGTACTATTTAAAGTGAAGATAGTAATATTAATTCACGGAGGCACAGTAAAGAGACAACCAAAGAAAAGAAAAAGTAGTTAATAACATTATTTATATGGTTAAGCTTCTTATATGTTTTCGGGTTCATTGTATTTTTTTCTTTTTATTTTCTTTTCTTTTTAAGCAAGCTAAAAAGTCCTCTTCGTTTCAGCTTTTACTTGTGCCAAGTTAATTCTAAGAAATTTGGGAATTCCAGACTTTAATAGCAATCATATGCATATAGTAAGAAATAGAATCGCTACAGTAAAAGCCCATTTCTAATTTCAATTCTATTGGGATGTTCAGTTTTTATTATTAAGATCTCAACTAATATCACTCCGCAAATTTTCCCAAAAAAGGGGGAAAAAAAGAGAAAAATTCTAAAAGTAATTTTGTTTGTAAGTATCAGTAATAAGAGCCCCACACATCACGCAGGTTTAGGTCTTGCATTTTATACAAGATATATCATGATGAGTAACAGTGTCCAAAATGTTCCTATCCCAGAAATTCATCCCAATGTTCATCCTTGATAGGTGAAGCTACAACTTTCCAATCTGCTAGTGATTTTCTCTCCTCTTCCTACTTTTCCAAATGATTTTTTTGTTTTGATGGATTGGTTTTTGTTGCAATGGATACTGTGGTGATAAATAAGAACAAAAAGTAAGGAGTTTAGATGATATGTATTTAGCTGGCACAAACTTTCCTCCTTTTGATGAATACAAGTCTTTTCAGAGTCACATTCTGATCATTACTCCTCAGTTGATGGCCTAATCCTAGAAAGTTATAAATTTTGGATGTGTCTCCATTGGCACTGAGACCTGAGGGGTAGTGGAACTGCATACTTTCTTCGTTAATGTGGGACAGTGTAATTTGTTATTAACTTGTGCTGATAGTCTTAAGATCATGCTTTCTGCTTCTGTTTCAGCTGTTCTCTGAGGTAGATGTGAAGCTGGTATTCAAGGAAGTTACTTCCAAACTTTTGCGGAAACGAATTGTGGAGGTAAGAATTCTTTGAGACAATGTTATACAAGATCTTCTACAGATAGACTTTATACTGCACTGTATGGCATTATTTGATTCAATTTTCATGTTACTAATCTTTTGGGGGGTGGGGGGGAATAATTTCTTTCTTGCTCTATTTTCTATCTAGAATGGATGTCAAAGGCACGCTTAAAGCGTGCTTAAGCCCTGAAGCGAGGCTCAAAACACGTTGAGCGCTTCGCCTCGCTTTGTGGGCGCTTTAGTGTCGCATCAAAGCTCTAAGGCATATTTTTCCTTGCCAATGAGTGTAATCTTGAAAAGGTGACCTTAAACAATTGATATTTCACTTTATCGTGAACTTTTTTTTTCAATTTCTTTGTCCATATATTTGTTATTCATGCTTATAATGATTAGTCTTGGAGACTTCATGCATATTTTTACTTTTTCTCCCGTGCGCTTTTTTTCATTAAAGCCCACGCTTTATTTGTGCTTTGCGCTTAAAGCCCCAATGGACCTTAGAGCTTTTTGGCGCTTTTCGCCTTTGATAACTCTGAAATGGACCTGGATCTCGACCGGTGATATAAGCTGTAAGATACATTATGATGAGGACTAAGAATACACTTGTGCTCCTTACAAAATGGTAGTTGTATTTTTGCCTTTTTAGTCGAACAACATCATAGTTGAGGAATTTTGAAATATTATCCTTTATATCATTCAATGCAATATTTGTAACTTGTAGTATTGTAGATTTGCGAAGAAGAAATGCTTTTTTCATATATTAGTATGTTTCTACATCCCTAAGCAAAGGTACTTATACACAAGGTCCTATAACTATTTTTGGAAGGAAATAAATAACAATCAATTTACAGTCAATTACACTCAATCAGAATAAAATCAAATCTTTCATAATAATCAAGCAATAAATACTTCCCCTCAAGTTGGTGCAAAGATATCGCATATGCCCAACTTGCAAACCAGTGTATGAAAAATGTTTGTTGAGATTTTTGGTAAACACATCAACTAGCTGCTTTATGATGACACATGAAACAAGCTCAAGATACCACTCGTAACTTTTTCTTTGACGAAGTGATCAAGTTCAACATGCTTTGTTCGGCCATGTTGGATTGGATTATGAGCTATGCTAATGACAGCCTTGTCGCCACAGAATAAGAAAAGTTTTCCCTTTTTAGACAGTTTCAATTTCTTTAGTAACTTTAGTAACCAAAGAAGTTCATAGATACCCTGGTGCCACTACGCTATATTCTGCTTCTATACTTGATCTAGCAACTACTCTTTGCTTCTTGCTTCTGCAATTAACCAAGTTCCCTCCTACTTGTGTACAGTAACCAGATGTAGATCTTCTATCATTTAAAGATCCAACCCAATCCCTATCTCTATAGGCTTCTACCCGAAGGTGACCATGTTTGGAGAAAAGCAGACCTTTCTCCGCAGCAAATTTCAGATACCGCAAAATGTGAAAGTCAACTTGCATATGAGGATCTCGAGGATCATGCATAAACTAACTCACCAAGCTGACTGGATAGGCTATGTCTGGTCTGGTATGAGAGAGATAAATGAGTCTTCCAACTTCTATTATCTCTCCTTATCAACTGGCTTTCCAATTCTGCATGTAACTTGTGATCTCTTTCAGTGGATGATTTTGTTGGTTTGCAACCTATCATACCGGTTTCTTTCAAGAGATTCAGAATATACTTTTTTGAGAAATAAAAATTCCTCTTTTTGATCTAGCAACCTCAATTCCCAGGAAGTGTTAATTTTTCTAGGTTTTTGATTTAAAAGTCCTGTGCCAATAGCTTCTTCAATCGGGTCATCTTCTTTTTGTCTTCTCCTGTCATTACTATGTCATCAACATAAACTATGAGAAGAGTAGTTTACCCTTTTGATGTCTTATGAAGAGGGTATGATCAACATTGCTTTGTTGGTAGCCAAAGGAGATCATTGCTTTGCAATCTGTCAAACCAAGCTCTAGGGGATTGCTTCCGTCCGTACTGTCTTTCTTCAATCTGCACACTTTTCCTTGGCTTAGTTCAGTATAAAATCCAAGAGGAATTTCCATATACACCTCTTCTTCTAAGTCTCCATGAAGAAATGTATTCTTCACGTCAAATTGTTGTAAGTCCCAATCAAGATTAGTTGTACAAGCAAAAAGAATTCTAATAGTGTTCATTTTAGCGACAGGGCAAATGCTTCATGATAATCCACTCCATAAATTTGAGCAAACCCCGTAGCCACCAATCTTGTTTTGAATCTTTCAGTCGAGCCATCAACTTTATGCTTCATAGTGAAGACCCATTTGTAGCCTACTAACTTTTTGTCCGGTTATGAAGTGACAAGTTCTTGAGTTTCATTTTTTGACAAGGCTTTCATTTCTTCAATCGTAGCTTGCTTCCATTTAGGATCTGCAAAAGCTTCCCTCCAATTCAGGGATGAATAGACACAAAAGAAATAGACAAAGGCAAAAGCTCTATAGGGGGGAGACAAAGAGTTAGAGGAGACAAAATTAGATAAAAGGTGTTTGGTGGTGCAAGATCTGACTCCTTCCTTGTAAGCAATAGGCAAATCTAACTCATAAGGGAATGTACATAACTCACTAGTAGAAGAAGGTTCAACTTTTGTAGATTGCATGATGGCTTCTTCTGCACTATTTCTTCTTGAATAAGTTTTCAAATTAGGCTTACGCTTATCCAAACGCCAATAGTTTTCCCCTGAATTCTTTCTCCAATTTCACTTCCCCTAGTGGTTGTGGTAGTGGTTTCAACAGTGGAACTTGGGAGCTAATCTGACAATCTGGTGCTAATGAACTTCAGTTGATCACCTGTTCTCTTGTATTGTGGTGTACAAGCGAATGACAATTCACAGCTCATACGCACACTTAGTCTTACTTATTCTCCCCCCCACCC